CATGGTTCGACGAGCGTCAGAAATTTCTATTTTACTATAAACGTATTAATAGTTATTTGTTATTATAGAATAAATCAAATTATCTCTTATTTTGTATAAATAACGGTTAATACCGTATAATAATGAAGAATGTTACAAAATATAATAGACTGAAGGAATTTTCGTGTCCTTCAACAAACGTCGCTCAAACTGAAAGCTCCGCCTTGTTTACATTACAGTGCTTCCATCTTGCGGTGGAGATCAAATTTGTGGAAATAATGAAGTACTTTTTTTTCATTGTAATAGTGAAACCACATTGAAGGTGTTAGTTTGGTTTTTGCTTTAAAATGTATATTTTCTATTTAACTCATAGTAATAATTACAATATTTTAGGGCAAATTTTAACCTTTCCCACTTAAAAAATACACCATCAAACGTTATATACTAAACGATAGCTCCGCTTTCATTTTGTGAATCGCCATATTCGATAATTCTTTCAAACTTCTATTTTTTTATAAATTTCTACATGCATATTTTCACCTGTTACTGGGCTTTTTAAACAATTTTATCTCGTCGTCTTTTGTTTGATACTATATTCCTCATTTTCGGTTAAATGCGATTATTAATTCTTACATAAAAAGTGCTATTTCACGCTGTCAACAGGTGGCACTAAAGTATACTGTCTTAGGAATATGTTTTTTTCATGCGTTTTTTAGCTTTTCTTTATTCTGGATATTCACGGAAAGCTGTTCAAGGGATATCTGCACTAGCTGTCCATAAATTGTAACTGGTAGACCAGAGATGAGGCAGCTAGTCAAAAGCACCTACCGCCAACTCTTGGCCTAAGATTGACCGACCGAATAATAGGATATGGTCGTCACTCTTATAACGCACCAACGATTCCAAATTGCGTAGGGTAATTTTTTTTTTGCTGGAATGGGACGCGAACATGGGATCCGCAGATTCATTGTCCAACACCCTGTTCTTTGAAATACGATCGGCTCCTTTATTCAAGCGTGTCTCTCAGTTAAAATCCTCAATTATATTAATTCAAATGTATAAAAAATAGGTTTATAATGTGCAATTATTCTATTTACTATTTTATATAAACATTCTATCTTTCATATCACGAACACCTGTTTTAAAATCACAAGTATAATTTCATCAATACCCTTAATATTCAGAGAACAATCAGACCACAAGAATTATCAATCGATAATTATCAATTATTAAAAATAGGGAGGAAGTAGAGGTTACTTAAATTTGGATTTAAATATGATTAATTTAAACTTTTAAATATGAGATTGCTTAAAGTGATTTTCTACACGACAGTAATCGCATTTCTGAGAATAATTATAAATTTTAATTGAAAAATGTCGTTACCAAAAACCATATTAGGTTTTAATAAAAATATATTCCGCCGTCAACTAATTTATTGGTCAAGTTATTTTCGTCAACAGTGAATAAAAGTAATTAAAAAATCGTGAACAAGAGACTGGATAATGGCTACTGGCCCTCAAAATAAATCCGAGAAACTTAAGGTATTAAAACACAGCCCATTAAGTAGTTTTGTACTTTAAAACTAACTAATAAATGCCAGATGGTTAAGGAGCTCGATTCGCAATCTGTGGGTCGCGGGTTCGAATCCCCGTCCCACCAAACACGTTCGCCCTTTCAGCCATGAGGGTGTTATAATTGGACGGTTAATGTGGGTGGTGATGACTAACTGCCTTCTCTCTAGTCTTACACTGCTAAATTAGGGACGGCTATCGCATATAGCCCTCGTGTAGCTTTGCGCGAAATTAAAAAGAACAAAGGCTACGAGGAATATTAACGTATCCAATGTAATTGTTAAGTTCCTACTTTTTACGTAAATATAAAAACGTATGTTGCGACTAGTATAGACAGTGATTTGGTATCTACATTTTGAACTATAATCATTGTTTGTTTTTTCTCTTCAAATCACGCAGTATCAAAAACAAAAAAATAGCGATAAGATTTAAATCAAAGTGGCGAGAATGCGTATGGTTCCGATTTACATGCTTTTAAAATAACTATAGTTTTTATGAATTGATCTTCCAACAGTACGTAATTCAATGGGAAATTTCTACATCAACATTTTATAAAGTCGTGTCAAATATTTAGAGAAAAAGTCTTTTTTGTTTACACACTGTCTTGCGTTCGCTGTCTTCGTGAAAAGCTGTTAATTGTAAAGTGTGTAATAGAAAATTGATAAATGTCTTGTGTAATCCGTTCCTCTTTCACAACTATTTCATATTTGTTTGTTGTTAAAACCTGTTGTGTTGTTTTTTATTAACAATATATTTTTGATAAGTTTTATTTGATTAAGGTTTATTATTATTATTATTATTCAAATTAATGTGCTTTTTTACATTAGAGAAAGCATGATTCTGTAAGCACAGACCAATTAAACCAAGAGGTTATCGTGTCGGGCTGCGGATCAAGAGGGTCTGTCGTTCGAGACGTGATGTTGCCGAAAATGTCCACCCTTTCAGTGGTGAAAGAGTTATAAAAATGACAGTCAATCTTGTTATTCGGTTCAAAGACTTGAACAATTCACAAAAGTAGGAATGCCTTTACTAGAATCCTAGAGGGGCTCTTACCTGGCTGTTTACCACACGTGCACATAATGTGCCGTTCACGTTGATAACTCCAATTTCAGATATTTTTTTCTCGTTTCTTCAAAGCGCATTAAACTTATTTGTTTTAAGACATTTCGCGCAATGATACACAAATTGATATCTGTGCGTAGCCGTCCCTAATTTTGAAGTGATCGACTAAAGGGAAGACGGACAGTCAACAGTAATTACTACCAACTCTTGTCTAACCGAATAGCGGATATAACTGTCTCTCTTATAGCGCACCCACAGCCCTAAAGTGTAGTGCGCATTTTTGCAGCAACGGGCTGCGAATCATGAATCCTCGCCCAGCGACGACCTTGTGTAAGCCTGTTCGAGGCAATGCGACTTTTCGTTGCCGTGGCGATGTTATGAGAAATACTTAGCCAAGTAATTTTAATTAGAGGTGTTAAAATATGGGATCTAACTTTATTTAGGCATTTATCGTACTGCATAACTCCTAAGTTTATTAGGACATTTATCGTACTGTATAACTCATAAGTTTATTTGGGCATTTATCGTACTGTATAATTCCTCAGTTTATTTGGGCATTTATCGTACTGCATAACTCCTAATACAGTACGATAAATGCCCAAATAAACATACAGTACGATAAATGCCCAAATAAACTGAGGAGTTATGCAGTACGATAAATGCCCAAATAAACTTAGGAGTTAACTCCTAAGTTTATTTGGACATTTATCGTACTGCATAACTCCTAAGTTTATTTGGGCATTTATCGTACTGTATAACTCCTAAATTTATTTGGCATTTGTCGTACTGTATAACTCATAAATTCTCCATGAAAACGTTCGACATTCTCAAAGTTAATGGCGAATTGAAAGCCAAGAACAAACAAACTTTTCGGATTTATGTTGCAGAGTTAGTATAAAAAATAACGCACATACCAGTAGAGCAAGACACTTATTGTATCTTGTTTCATTTTACTACACTTTTTTTTTTTTACAGTAACGTAACTAGACGAAAACACTTTATTTAAATGAAAATACTTGTTGATTTAATATATCATAAGTTGTAAACTGAAGAAAAAATTTATTTTCTATGGTGTAGAAGTTTTTATTAAACCGACATCTAGTGGTAAAATTCACTAAGTCTCAGCTGGTCCTAAACGGCTGAAATTTATAATTTTACTATTGTTAATGATGCCCGCTAGTTATATAAATAACGTTTGATAGACAAAAATTCCGCGAGATCTTCTTAAGACCCAGTCGGTTAGGAGAGGCCAGAAAAAAAACTAAATTCTATAAATGTTTATCACTATGCTGATTTCAAGCTTGTAATACTTTGAAATAAACACCCGATTTCAAACAATCGAAGCTTTCCGTAATCTCAAACTGAGCACAGTCTGTTGCAAACACCGAAACAAGCAAAAACTTTCACTGTTGCCTTTATAAGTTTACTTGTATGGTTTCAAAGAACAGTTTGAAGAACAGACGTAAGACAATAAAATAGTAAAAGATTGGTTTCATGTTGCGTTTGTTTGTTTGTTGAATTTCACGCGAACCTACTCGAGGGCTATCTGCGGTAGCCATCCCAAACTTTGAAATGATAGATTAGAGGGAAGGCAGCTTAGTCAACACCATCCACTGCCAACTCTACATAATTTCTTTTGTAATCAATATTATCATTACATAACTTTATATGTTTAATGATCAAAATAACACCATTGTCTTTTGTAAATACAAAACGAGATCTGGCTTTACGTCTTAGTTGTCGTAATATAATGCCATAGCCATAAAGATACGAATTTCTAAATATGTAAAAAAAAAATGTTGTTTTATTTGCTTTAGAGCAAAAGCCACATTAGGCTATTTGCTGTGTCCACCGCGGAAACTGAACCCCAGATCCTAGGATAGTAATTTTGTAGCCTTACTACTGCCCCAAAGGGGAGATTCAAACAAAAACCAACTAGATAATCACTTATCTCATTATGATTACCCCCCCCCCAGTGGCACAGAGGTATGTCTGCGGACTTACAACGCTAGAAATCGGGTTTCGATACCAGTGGTGGGCAGAGCACAGATAGCCCATTGTGTTGCTTTGTGCATAATTACAAACAAACATTATAGTTAACTAGAGGTCGCCCTCTTCCAGAACGTGTTGAATCTCTTTATCAAAACGAGTACAAGAAAGAGGTGTTCATTACCTTTGATTAAGTAGTAACAGTAACCAATACACACGACAAAGCTTTGTAGAAATGAAAAATGAACGCTTGGATAAAAACGTTGGAGACAAATACAACTTGAACATTATTTATGGAAATAATAATAGAGACTTGTGTTGTATGGGATCACATAATATTGTTGCTTGGAAACAAAAATCAGTTGAACATTATTTATTGAAATAATGATGAAAGATTTGTGTTATATCAGACCACATATGTTGTTGCTTGGAAACAAAAATCAGTTGAACATTATTTATTGAAATAATGATGAAAGATTTGTGTTATATCAGACCACATACTGTTGTTGCTTGGAAACATCAGTTGAACATTATTTATTGAAATAATGATGAAAGATTTGTGTTATATCAGACCACATATTGTTGTTGCTTGGAAACAAAAATCAGTTGAACATTATTTATTGAAATAATTATGAAAGATTTGTGTTATATTCGATCACATACTATTGTTGCTTGGAAACAAAAATCAGTTGAACATTATTTAATGAAATAATGATGAAATATTTATGTTATATCAGACCACATACTATTGTTGCTTGGAAACGAAACCAAGTTTTTTTAATATTATTTATGGAAATAATGAGGCAAGGTTTGTGTTACATCGAATCACATACAAATGTTGCTTGGAAACAAGAACTAGTTTTTCATATTATTTAGTGAACTAACGTGAAATGATATATGTTATATCACATTACATACTAACGTTACTATACGGGTTATCTTCGAGATTGATTAACTCCAGCCTTTAAAGAGACTGTTAATATTTTTACTATAACCTATAGTATCACATATACAAACGTTGGTGATTTCTCTTTGAACTCTTTAGTGATAATTATTATTACTTAAAGAATAAAACTCGTAAATTCCACATCAACTTTTTTCTTGGACATTTTTTGTTGTTGTTTTTAACAACATACTAAACTATCAAACACTTCCCGTTGAGGAGTTGCTTTTAGCAGCTGGACTTTCTCGAAATCATGTTACCATGGTTATAGCACTAAATGGTGTGATCGTTACCTTTCGTTGTCTTAGTTCAAGATGGATAGGTTTACTTAAAGAAACTGGCGTTCCTCCACTTTATGTAAACTTGACCCGTCTGACAGCTGACTTGTGAAATCAGAAAAATTGGTCTAGCCATGTTTTCCCATTCTTCACGTCTCACATACATAGATGTCAGATTCAATCTTTTTTACAGGCTGACAGGGGACGCTATTACCTTTAGTAAGTCAGGAGACTAGAGTAAGACCTCGGGAAGACGCTACAGTGCCTCTAGGATATATAGGTGGTTGTCTACCGGTCTGTGGTGTTTCAATTGTCGTCCTCGTCGTCTGAAAGTATCCCGATCCTCCGACCAATACACTTGACAGACTTTGTGAATTCCTCCTGAACCAAGTTGAAGGACATTGCTAAGAGCGCCATACCGAACAGCAAATAGAGGGCGCACAAGCCTAACGTCAGTTGGGCATCTTCAGAGAGCACTGCTGTCCCAGGAACTAGATCTCCAAATCCGATTGTCGTTAAAGTAATGAAGCAGAAGTAGGAACTGTCCAAAAAATTCCAATCTTCCCAGATCGTGAAGAGAAAAGCACCACCACAGATGTATCCAATAACAATGGCAGAACACAACCAGATAGGCACACTCACTTCTTCTTCATCTCTGCTTTCTTCAGAGCCAGACTCGTCTTCTTCTTCATCATCCACGTCAAAGTCTAGCATGTCTTCCTGGCGACGGCTTCCCCAATTACACTGTTCTAGCCGATGCAGCTTTCCCTGGGGAAGGTTATAATAAGAGGGATCCAGATGCCCCATGGAAGGGTGAGCGAGGTCAACTGGTATATCTTCCCCACTATGAAGAACGTATTTGTTGGAAATTACAGGGATCCGGTCAGGATTCAGTTGATCCGGGTATAGTGCTCTCTGTGCTGAGCTGACTTTTTTAGGAGCCGAGTACTGAGGAGATCCTGGAGTCACAGACGACGGAGATGCGGGAATAGTGGGGGAGCTAAACGGGGATGTGGGGCTGCGGGAGTCACTATCGGACATAATGGTACCCTGGGCGGTGTAGTAGCTGCTCCGACTGAGTGTGTCCAGATGAATTTCCTGGGTGGCTTTATTAATATCTCTAGGCGGACTCCGGCCCGACAAATAACGACTTCCATGTCGGAAGGATGATCTACCATGTCGGAAGGATGATCGAGACTTCTTCTGTGGCTTGATGCAGAGATAGCAACACACTTTCCAATAGATGAACTTGAAGGAGTGGGCCATGGCGTCTCCGATGTTGGACAGGCATAACAACATCAGCGGAATACCCACGATGGCGTAAAGGAGGGTAACCAGCTTTCCCCATGGGGTCTTTGGAGCAATGTTGCCATAACCTGAAGGAAAAATCCCAAAACATAAGTAATTTCGTGATAACCAACGATTTGATAGATTGATACCTAAGTATCATAAAACTATAATGATGCACGTAGTTTTAACCCTAAAAATACCGAGTTATTTATATTAGCAATAGGTGAGGCAGCGCCCCCTAGTGGCTTAGCGATACCGAGTTATTTTTATACCATTTACCATTGGTGGCGTTCACATCACTGGTGCGTAGCGATAGGTGAGGCAGTGCCCCCTAGTGGCTTAGCGATACCGAGTTATTTTTATACCATTTACCATTGGTGGCGTTCACATCACTGGCGCGTAGTGATAGGTGAGGCAGCGCCCCTAGTGGCTTAGCGGTAAGTCTAGAAGCTTACAGGTGGTGAAGCTGCCACAGGACCCAAAGGAACCGTGAAAATTTGCATTGTTAACATTGGAACTGTGGAGGAAATATTCTGAAATGCAGGAAAGTTTTAATGAGAGGAGCAACAAAAGTTTTGATCCTGGACCCTTTAAAATACCTTATGCCACCGGTTAACATACTGCATCGTACAACAGTCAATGCAAAGAGCAGACTATAACAATTGTGTGAAAACACTAATGTAAAATATGTAGGAAACAGCAACATTAACTAGTAAGCTTAACTCCAATACTGATAGAATTTTTCTTTTGTGTGTATGTGATTTATATGTCACTAGAGGCGCTTCAACCAACAAAGTAATAGACTCACGAGCAATTTGGCAAATAAAAAAGTTTAAAGAAACATGTCTAAAATTCCGATGGGATCCAAATGGACCACTAGTTGAATTCTAAGGTTAAAGTCACAGCTCTAATACTAATATTTTTTTCTGTTTTCATATTAACTTGGTGGATCAAAGTCGCTGTCCTTTGTTTTTGCTCATGGTCATAAGGTGGTGAAGCAACAGTTGTAAAAGAGCGTTGAAATAAAAATGTATGAAAAACTTTTTACTAATGCTTCTACAAACTGAAGAAAATATTTAAATGTCCTTAGACAAATCATACACATGTCCAATAAAATCTGAAACTTTGTTTATTTGTTAAGAAGCATAAAGCTACTGAATGGGTTACGTGTGCGATGCTCATTGCGGGTATCGAAATTCAATTTTTGGGTTACAAGCCCTCAGACTTACCTCTGAGCCACTGGCGGCCCAAAATCTGAAAGAGATTGAAGAAATGAATTAACAACAACAAAAAAGTCCCTAAGATTCTAAGTTATTAGAATTTTTTTTCCGTGATGTTAGAATTTTTCATGATTTTTTCCGTTTTACGCGGCACCGTCTACTTTTCATGATTTTTTCCGTTTTCTTCGGCTCCGACTATTATTTTTTTAAAATTTCATACACGATAAGATCCCACTTGAGTGTAACTTAGCACATGCGCAGTAGAGTGAAAATTAGTCCAAGAGTAACCGTTTAAATGTATTTGCCTAATACAAAGTGATCGTGATTACGTTTGACCAGTTGGATCTAAACATTTCGACAGTCAAATACGTGTTTATCAACAGTTACTCTTACATTAGTTAACCGAATCGCTAACTAACAGATGTGAACCTAATAAAATACATCATCTAGTAAAGCACAGGTCGGAAAATAGTAGTGATTATCAATCCTCAACTAGAATAGTTAAGACTAATTAGGTTTAACTCCAATACTGATTTTAGCGTTGTAAGTCCGAATATTAAAATATTGTTCAGTCAGAAACACTCAACTTTGTGTCAATAACATGTATTACTGATTCCCATTCTAACATTTATTTTTCGTTTTCATGCTTATTCATCATCTTACAATAAAAGAAAAACCATCATCATCACATAAGCAAAAATCCCAACGTCCATCATGTCAGCGTGAAATATTCAAAATCTTGCCAGCATCCATGCAGAACTTGCAGTGATTCTGAGTTTAGGTTTACTTAAGGTATGTATGTAATGGCAGATTTATGTAATTTTTGTTATCAGCCTATTTTTTAGGAGATTTTACGATGGAAGTGAAAACCAGCTGTACGAATCTTCAAAACACACCAGTGTTTAGAAGAACATCGTTCAACACTCAGAAATTCCCGTAGTAATAATGTGTCTTATCTATTTTTAGGCTTTTTTATGTAGTTTGTTTTAAAACAGTTTTTTTCTCTTTCATCTACTTATAATTAAATACTCTCAACCCAGAACCTGAAGAAGTTCTCATGCTATGTCATAGAGCAAAAAAACTAGCTTTAAGAAGTATTTATTTATATGTGACTACTGTAAGTTCGGAAAGTTTTCTTATATATATTCATTTTTAAATATTATGGTAAGTTACTATAGTTTTATTTTTGTTTTTAATTTTTGCTGATCATTAAATGAAGAGCTCACATAACCTTGAAATATCTGTTTTTTAGTTTCTAATTCTATAAACGGACCGTAACTTTACCGTACAAACTGATACAAAGCCGTAGCTAGGGTAGGGTAGGATGGGCAGATTATACAATAATTTATGCAAAACTATACAAACTGGAGGGCAAATCGAAGAACATACCATCAGAATTAAGCATGATAATGTGCTGTATTTAGTAGTATGGTATTTACGTTCTCACCTTTATTTAATCTTCAACTACGTAGTCTCGTTCTTTAGTTATAACATATATCATAGTTATTTTAACGTTTGCTAGTGTTGTGGTATTTACCATCTCATTTAGCTGCATGTTTCTTTTGTAATATCAATGTTTTTAAGAAAAGGAAAAATTTTTTATCTTCAAGTAAGTGACACTATATTGTTTATCTACAAGTAACATACGCTATGTTGTTTATCTACAAGTAACATACACTATATTGTTTATCTACAAGTAACATATACTATATTGTTTACCTACAAGTAACATATACTATGTTGTTTATCTATAAGTAACATATACTATGTTGTTTATCTATAAGTAACATATACTATGTTGTTTATCTATAAGTAACACTATATTGTTTATCTACAAGTAACATATACTATATTGTTTATCTATAAGTAACATATACTATG